ATCACACGCTTCCCATAAGTCACAGAATCTAGTTCTCAACAGCAGACTGAAAAATGCTCAGAGACTGCCCGACGCAGTGAAGGACAGCACACTGCTGGTCTTATCTAAATTCAGACGGCACAGTACGGCAGGTGGACTCTCAGATGGCTTCGAGACATTCTCTAGTTCAGCACTGCTTTACTGCTGGGTTAAGAGGTCACTACATTCTTCACTCCTCTAGAAGGCAGTCTTGCTGACAGCAGTTACAACATTTTCTGCCATCCTGTCCCCTAAGTGACCAAAAGGGTGTTCTACACAGCCCGAGGCATGTGTGCTACTCTGGCCTGGCACACAGTTCACAGCTCCAAGGAACGGAGGGCAGCTCTGAAATCCGGACCCTATGAGCTGGGCTCCTGAGGCAGAAACAGGGGTGGGGCAGCTGGCTTTCATGCTGACCTTCTTACTGTTAACTGCCAAAAGCTTACTTTCTAAAGACTCCCTTTTCCTCCTCGTAGATGGCGCTCTCTCTCTTTTGTGTGTGTGTCTTTTTGAGACAGGGTTTGATTATGCAGTTCAGGCTGGCCTCAAATTCACTTTTAGCCCTGGCTGGCCTGGAACTCATGGTGATCCTCCTGCCTCAGCCTCCCACATGCTGAGATTACAGGGATGCACCACTGCGAACAACCATGGCAATCTTTCCTCACCACAGTATAAAGGGTGATGGTGTCTCTCTGTTTGGGGAATGGCCGAACACCTAGTTCTATCAAAGTTCTCTATAATCTTCCTTCCATCACTTTGAAAAACAGTGTTTCACTTTATTTCAAATGTCACAAGTTCCCAAATGCCCCCCTCCATGTGCAGTTCTCCAGGGAAAGTCACTAAATGCCCTTCTCCTGCAGGAGGTCAGGCTTCCTATTCTCTGGCCTATGGCATCTGTCACCAACATTTAGACAGCTGGCACATCAGAACACAGCAGCAGTCCCACACTGCTCAGCAGCCACAAAATACATGGCCAGAACCCTGGCTCCACAGGCACACCAAGAGCAAAGGAAGGGAAGAGACTCCTCCAGAGAACACACACAACACAAAATCATCTGAAAAAGAACATTTCTGTCAACAACTACCACCTGGCAACAAGTCCTTCTTGAGTGTGCTCCATGATGTTATTTCAGTAACAATAACCCCAGCTCCACGGATTCAGGGATACTGGTGCCTACAACTTCTAGTTACTTAGGAAACAGAAGCTGTTTGATTTATGAAGTGGGTCACCAAAAGGAACAATGCAAAAAGAAAGCAGTTGCCTGGGATATTCCTCTCCTCGTCCCATCCATCCTGCTCACAGGAGGAGGACTGCTTGGGAGGTCAAGCAATCCAAGTCAGAAGATTCCTCTGGACCACAACCAGGCTTGGTCACAGAGAAAGAGCCTCCCCGGGGCTGGGATTATAGCACTGGAGTCACCACACAGAGCAGAAAAGATACACTTTTTTTTTTTAAGTCAGGGTCTCACACTACATGGCCCTGGCTGGCCTCGAACTCACGGTGATCCTCCTGCCTCAGCTTCCCAGGTGTTGGCATGCACCAACACACCCAGCTAACTCTTAATGTGGTTATAGATACAGGATGGGAAGAAACCTAAGAAGCTTGACATTGCTGATTATCTCTAAGCAAGCACTGTACTAGGAACTTTGTTACTATAACAAGCACTCACTCAACACACATCTGAGACGCCACTATGTGCAAAACACTCTTCTAGGAACTGGGGTTATGAAAATGAACAAAATACTCAAAATCTTCGCTTTTACTAAATTTACATTGTATTTTATTTTTGTGGTATGGTGATTGAACCCATATGTTAAGCTGACGCTCTATCACTGAGCTATACCCTCAGTCTGAATTTACATTTAGTTATGGTGAGAAATAAATTGATGTCAGCTGGTAACAAATGCTATGAAGAAAGATAAAGCAGATTAAGGGAGCACTAAATAAAATTTTACTTAAAAATAAAGCAGAGGCCAGGCGTGGTGAGCATTCCTGTAATCCTGTGGTGAGCACCCAGGAGGCTGAAGCAGGAGGACTGCTGCAAACCCAAGGCCAGCCTGAACTATACAGACAGACTGGCCTCAATATACAAAAGAAGGAGGCAAACAATAGAAGAAGGGAAGGAGGACTATTTTATACACAGTTGTTCTGGAAGGCTTCCACTGATGATAAGGGTAAAGATTATCACATATACGCAGAACTTCATTTAATGCTCAGCAACTCTAACTTCAATATTATTACCATCCCCACCTTACAGATGAGAAGATGGAGCCAGGCATGATGGTTCACACCTGTAATCCCAGCGCTTGGGAGGTTGAGGCAGGAGGACTGCCATGAGTTCAAGGCCAGCCTGAACTCATAGCAAGATCCTGTCTCAAAAAACCAAAAAGGGAAAAGAACGAAGAGAGAGAGAGAGAGGATGGAGCCTAGACGGTAAGGATCTGTACAGTCTGTAGCTTGAGTAAAGACAAAGGGGACAGAGGTCCAGATTATATGGCTCAGGATTGAACTCCTGACCCTATCCTTCTCCCAACACAGCATGCTACTATGTTGACAGAGACCTACACTTTCAAAGAAGTCAAGTTTAACTAAGGTCACAAAGTGACAAGTCCATCTACCCTCCACACACGGCTAAGAGATTAATGCAATTCAATCTTCCCAAATGACAGCCTATTATTCCCACCACCAGCTGAAAACCAAACCTTACCTTGAAACAAGAGAGGATACCGTGGGCTCCTTAACCGAAGCTGCTAAATGCTGCATATGCTCCTCTCCTACCTCCTACCCCAAGATGATATAACACGAAGAGACGACAGACTATTAAGTAAGCAGGAGATGGGCCTTGCTGCTAATTCTTCAGGTTACACTTTCTCCCTGGAACACAGGCAGGACTACAACAAGGAAACACTGAGCCAGCTGCTTTCCAGGGCCACAGCAGCTGTCTGAGGCAGAAAGGAGGGGACAGGCAGACAAAGATCAGCAGCAAAGAGAAAAGAAGCCCTCTCCAGTTCCATTTAAAGAATGTACAGCTCTTCCTCAAGCCCTGGAGTACGGGGTGGAAAAGGAGCATATGAAACCCTTTCTTGACAAGCGTGAGGGAGGGTGGACAAAAGCAGAGGGAACAGACACCCAGCTCTCTTGAGGGGAAGAAGCAGAGAACAAGGCAGGAGGTAACTGAAGGAGGAGGCTAATATCGCTGCAACAAGGGAAATGCCACATCCAAGGTCAAAGGGTATTTGCAGAATTGCTGAAAACTCCGTGTCCTGTCGATGGTCCAAGCCAAGCTTCAAGAAGCAGCTAAAAGGCAAACCCAGGTAGAGTCCCCCAGGGTTCAAATCAAAGGTCACTGTTTAGACCCACCCACTTTACAACTGTATTTCACTCAGGGAACTTGGAACCAGAGTTAATGAACAACCAAGCTGGAGGGGGAGAGGCAGAGTCATCCCAGAGTGCAGCGGATTAAGGGACTTTTACTCACAGCCTGATTTTCCATCTTACAACCCAATTTGAGCACACCAGCTTACCCCTGCAACTACCTCCTGTGAAGCCTGAAGACCCTCTCCCCACTGACGCCCAGAGCCACTCAATGCTCAGTCTCCCTCACCAGCAACTTCTTATCCCTTCTCTAGCAAGTCCGCTCTCATAGCCCAACGCTGCTCCAAACAAATTATGACCTGAATGGCAAGAGAAAAAAACTGTGTCACCTAGAGAAACCCAATTAACAACATGACTCTGCTCTCTTCAAAGTCTCTCCCATCATATCCGGGGCACCTGTGTGGCTGACCGCCTTTTCCCACGACTGGCCATGTTCCTTAACTCAAAAGCCAGACAGCGTGAACAGGGGCCTCCCGAAAAGCCAACCTAAAGATGGGAAACTGCTCTCCTTTCACCTTGGCCGGCCGAGAGAGCTGGAAGGGCATGGGACCCAAACACTACGGAGGGAACAGCCTGGAGGGTTCACCTTGAAATCACCAAATCGCCCTTAAGCTAAAGCTTCCTGCTGAAAACATAAATGCTGCTAAAAGCTCCTAAAGTAAGTGCCCCACGTGGGACAATAAATGGCTATTTTGAAGAAATTCCTGCTGCAGTTGCTTCCTCTTAACCCTTTTCCTAATTAGCTCCTCCCTTGAGAGCTCTCCGAGCGTCCCCACCTCTCCTGCTATCCCGATCCGACCACCACATGCAGCATGCGGTTTCTGTGTGTACATGTATGTAAACATCCTCTTCCCAGACCGTGCTAGAGTTTCTGAAGGAAATAAATGCGTCCCCTTCTCCCTCAATGCACTTGTCTGTCCTCCCAGTGCTGCCCTGCTGGAGTTGATAATGTAAATTCAGGGGCCCTGAGATCGGAAATGCCAGAGTCTGGACTGCTGCGCTTGAAACGGGAGAAGAGGGGCAGGGAAAACAGAACGTGGGCCTGAGGGAGACCGTGGGAGGTGTGGGGTGGAACGGGAGGCTGAAACGCCAACCTGGGAAGAGCTGCGACTCGGGTAGGCGAGGAGGAGACAAGGGTGAGTAGGAGGATGTCAAGGCAGTTGCAAAGTCAGAATGTGAGTAACCGAGGAAGGGAGGGGGTACGGAGATGTAAGTAAGGAAAAGGGTGCAGAGGGCCAAGAAAGGGTGAGGGCCACAGTGAAAATACCCACTGTGCGGATGATAGGGGGAACTGGGTCTACAGAAGCCAGAGAAGACCCTCAAATACCTTGGAAGAAGAGGGTACAGTACCCCAAAGTAAAGATGGGTGGTAGGGAGGTGTGGGGGCGGCACACCACAGGGTGGGGACGGAACTGGCCCAGAATCTGCAGCGAGCGAAGCCAGGAGAGAGGAGGGCGGGGACCCAGCCGCCGCGGGAGGCTGGGGAAGGGGAAGGGATCGCGAGGGAAGCAGGGCTGTGGAGGGGGCGCCCCGGAAGCACGTGAAGCGTGCAGCCCCACGCTCCCTCCCCTGCGGCGCGGACGGGAGCCAGGCGGGGGGCGCTCACCCGCAGGGCGGACAGGTCGATGTCGTCCAGGCTGCGGGCGGGGGCCGGGTCGCCCATGGCCTCCGCGGTGAACCGGGCCCCTGGGCCGCTCACTCTCCGGCTCGGCTATTCCACGGCTGCGGTCGCCGCTTCTCCCCCATTGGGGGAGCCTGGGGGCGGACTCCACCGCGCCTCCCCCGGAGAAGGAGGAAGGGGTGGGCCGGCAGAGGGACCGACCCACGACTGACAGGAGCTCCGGCCCGGGAGTCTGCAGCCCGAGCTCCGCGAGTCCCCGGCGCATGCGCAGAGCGGCGGCGCCCGGCGGGAGGAAGAGCCGGCGTGACGCGGCGCGCCGGGCCCCCTCCCCCAGGCGCCGGCACCTGCGCGCAGGCGCAGGAGAGCGGGCGGGCTGCGGGCGCCGAGCCGGGCCGCGCGGGCCTGGAGCGGGCGGTGGGCGGCGGCCTGGCGGGCACGCTGGCGCCCACTGACTGGCGCGCGTGCGCGGGGCCTTTCCGCGCCTTCCCTTAGTTTTTTGCCCTTTCTCTCCCGTTTGCCTCTTACATATCCTGCGACGCTTTTCCTTCCCTTCCCAACGTCTTTCGCAGGCCCAGCTGCCACTCAAGCCTCCCACCACTCTATTTGCGGGGGAAGGGAGGGAGGACCCAACCCCCTCTATTACTAGAGGGGTTGTTATGGTAACTCCCCACGCGAGGACTGGGTGGCCCCTAGATAGGACGCGCTGTCCACCCACCCAGTTGTCATGGCAACAGTGGAGCCTTTGAGGGCGGGGCCTCCGTGAGAATTTGGCTGGAAGGAACCACGTGGGTGTTGGGGAGGGGAAGAGGGACGCGAGGCCGGGCTGGGGAGTATCGAGGGGACCTCAGGGCGAAGGTGGGGAACCCTGTTGCAGACCTTTGTGTCTTAAAGGGTTCGGCACAAAGGAACTGTTGGGGCAGTTACCCACGGAAAAACTAATCCCTTATAATCCTGCTCTGGGCACCTCAGATCTAGTCATGTTGCCACAGCACCCCAGCCCTTAGGCTCATGGAGGCTGCCTTATGTTATGTAACAGTTGTCTTCCGACCAGGTGTGGTGTGCATCCCTGTAATCCCAGCACTCCGGAGGCTGAGGCAAGAGGATTGCTGAGTTCGAGGCCAGCCCGCACTACACAGCAAGACCTTGTCTCAAACAAAACAAAAACAAAAAACAGTCCCCTGTCACTGCCTCCTATGACCTTGAGCAAGTGGTCTCCTCTGAGCGTTTCTTTCACAGCGAGGCTCAAGCTCCCTTCTGACACTATGAAAATTATCATCAGCGGGGGCTGGGGATTTAGCTCAGCGCCTGCCTTGCAAGCGCAGGGCTGTGAGTTCAAACCCCGGTGGACTCTTAACGTGGAGCCACATCCAGGCTTCCCCTCCTCTTTTACCTTGTCATTTTTTCCAAACCACAACCCCATGTGTCAGTTCTTCAAGATTTGCCCTCCTGCTTTTGTTTTGGTTTGTTTTTTTGAGACAGTGTTTTGCTATGCAGGTCAGCCTGGCTTTGGACTCACTTTGTAGCCCAGGCTGGCTTCAAACTCACAGGGATCTTCCTGCTGCAGCTTCCTGAGTGCTGGGATTTGCAGGCATTGCCACCACACCCAGCTTTCAATTTTAGTCATCTGTAACTGAGATGAAAATAGGTTAGAATAAAATAAAATTAGGTACATTAAACACTTGGCATATACTAGGCCCCCAATAAATTTACGAAAGCCTGACTCATAGAATGTTTAATACTAAGTGAGTAAATTAGGATCATGAGGAAGGGATAAGTCCACACCTATTTCTCAAGAGACAGTATAATACCAGGCGTGGTGACACACACTTGTAATCCCAACGCTGGAAATCTGAGCCAGAACAATCATAAATTCAAGCCCAGTTTGGGCAATTAATGAGATCCTGTCTGAAAAGTGCAGGAAGCTCCGTAGCTCAGTGTGAAGGTCCTGGATTCCATCCCCCAGGGGCTGGGGGACAGAAAGAGACTGGCTTCACGCTCATCATTATCAAAGGTGAAGTAGAGGTTAAGATTTATTATCCTGTTCTCGGCGTTTTTGTGTCCCTAATAAAAACTCAGAGTTAACAGGGCAGAAGGAGTAGTAGACCAGGCTTTAAGAAAAGTTAGACTCTTAGAGACAAAGTTGGTGGGAGGTGTAAGTCAGGGGTAGAATATTTGCTTAGCATATTACAACTTTCCCCAGCAGCAAACAATAAAAAAGACTAATTATAGGGCTTGTGGGAAATGAATTAACTCTGAACAGATCTGTCACCCTCAGGACCTAATACTGCCAACCTTACAGGCCTGGACTCTCAATTACGCATCTGGAGTGTTTTTTTCTGTTTTGATTTTTTTGGTGCTCAGGATGGGAATCCAGGATCCCTGGCACGGTAAGTGCGTGCTTTATCATGAGTTACACCCTCCCCTCTGGAGCCAATTCTTTTTTTAAATCTGTACTGGGGATCGAACTCACGACCACTCACTTGCAAGGCAGGCGCTTATGCCGCTGAGCTAAATCCCCAGCCCAAGCTGATTCTGTATATCTTAAATCTTGATCTCCTGTTTACTTTTCTTCCCTTTACTGTGCTTGGTCTCCAATCAAGAAACTCCAAGTCAGGTATAAATGTGCGCACCTGTAACCCAGCACTCACGGAAACAGAGGCAAGAGAATCACACGTTTGAGCCCAGGCTGACCAACTTGGCAAGACCCTGTCTCAAAATAAAAAATAAAAAGGGCCAGGTATGGTATCATGCCTGTAATCCCAGAACTCAGGAGACTGAGGCAGGAGGATTATGTTTGAAGCAAGCCTGGATATGTAGTGAAAACATACAAAATGAACAAAACCCAAAAAGGATTGAGGTTATAGCAAAGTTTGAGGCCTGGGTTCAGTGCACACATGCACGCGCACGTGCACAGTCTCCCAGGAATGAAGGGAGCCCTGGGGCAGCTGCTGCCTCCATCCCACTCCAGTAATTTAGAAGGTAATGGTCTCCCTGGGGAAAGACGCACTTAGTGGTGACAATGAAGCTAATTAACAGAATGCCAATTAGTTTTTGGAGACTGCTGTGTATAGGAGGGGACGCTGTATCTCCTTGAAAAGCCAAAGGGCCAGACTCCAAGGAACAGGTGAAGCAGAGCAGCCAGGTCCCCCCTTCCCATCATCACCCACCCACAGCCCTCGGGTGTGAAGCCTCCTCCGCTCCTGCTCTGCCCTGGGCTTTTCTTGCCTCTGTGGCCAATTCTGAGACAGGTGAGAGACTAGGGGCAGCAGTCATGAGCCAGTAACCGTGCTCAATATGCAAAATATTTCAGACATTCAAAGTTATGAATGTACACAGGCGATGTACGTGTGTACGTGTAACAATCCACACACTCACTACTTAGCTTAGAAGAATGTTACCGGGTGAGGTGAGGCCCTTCCTCCCGGCAGGAGCCAACCTCGATCTGCTGAGTGTGACACGCTTTCAGACTGTGCCGTGTCCTGGCTCTTCCCCCAGGAGCAGTGCTGCCTACAGAGCTCTGGGCGGTGACGTAAGTGGTCCACACCTGCTCTGTCCAGTATGCTCCATAGCCCCTCAGTTCTTAGCTGTCCTTTGAGAAAGGGTCTTACTATTTGTTCAGACACTTCTGTAATGCATAGTGATGCTCCACAATATAAGTCAGAGGGAAGGAATTCTGCTGTACTTTTTACGTTGGCCAGGCTGGGTTTGAACCTGATAATCCTTTACCATTAGCCTTTTTACCAGCTGGGATTACAAGCATGTGCTTCTGCACCAGGTGTTGAAGTTCCTTCTGTGAGACGAGAACAGTGCCTGGCAGAGAGCAGGTACTCAATAAAAACTTAGGCCATGGATTAAGTCATCAATGTAAGCCAGTTATATAAATATCACTCCCATTTCCAAGTTGGGACCACTGAGGTCCAGAGAAGTGACATGACCTGACAAAGTGACCTAGCTTCTAAATGCTAAGTCCGGGATTTGGACCCAATTCTGATCTTTCTTTTTTAGTTGAGTATTGGAACCAAGGCCCTTAAATGCACTGATGAACCACCACTGAGCTACATCCAGCTCAGACTAAACCTTTAACCATTCCCAAAGAGATTTACTAAACCTCTCCCAGAGCTGTCACTTAAACAAGAGGCAGCCTGTTTGGGCCTTCTGGGACAACCTGTCATGGCCAGCCGCAGTGTCAGCTCAGAGTTCTTGGGTGTCCCGGTTTGACCCTGCCCTTCCTTCCACCCAGGCGCACCATGTGCACAGCTCCTCTCTGCAGCCAGGTGACTGAATTCTGACACGCAGACAGGTAGCACCGGGAAAGGAGAAGCAGGGTGGACAGCAGTGAGAGGACTGGGGCTGTACGGACGGGAACAGGCCCTGAGGTGAGGGGTCGGCTCTTCTAACGAAGAGGCATGGGCTTTTTCTACTTTTATTTATGAAATGTTTACTCAACTGGTACAAAGTTAGTGTCTGTCCACAGGCTAGTGGAGGCGGTTACGGGCCTTTCTCCTCACTCTGCCAGGTGCTGCAGCCCAAAGTGGCTTCATCCGTCCTTCCATCTTTGCACCAAAGATGCTGAGTGGGCTGAGAAAGGCTTTGGGCATGGAGAAGGCTTCAGGCAGAGGAGGAGGAGAGATGGGGAGACCCAAGCCGGACCCCTCCTCCTGGAGTCAGAAGCTTGACCCCGAGTGTCCCGGCAGGATTTGTGTTTCTCTGGAGCAGTGGTTTGAGTCAGGTATCAGGGAGGCTGACCCTTTGCTATGGCACTGTGACCCTTTCCTGTCTTCCCAAGGCAGGTTCAGGCGGGTCCCCTTTGCTACGTATCAGGTGGTAGGGTACACTGTGCTTCACGTCATCTCTTTCAGAGCTGCCTGCCTCCTCAGCCCTGTAAGGGCCCTGCCCTTAGTCCTCAGAGCTTAGGGCCAAGGCGCCAGACACAGTGGACCCCAGAGCTTCTGACATCTCACTGTCTGCACCCGCAGCTATGTCCACACTTCCAGGGGCACCATGCCCTCCTTGCTCCCTAGCGGGGGCAGCAAAGATTCCTCCTCCAGGAACTTGAGGGGAAAGTGAACCAGGTGGCCCTTGACCTCGGTGAGCTCAGAGCAGGCCAAGGGAGGGCTGACCACCGCCAGAGGCTTCACAGCCACATACTCCCGGAGAGTCCGCAGGGAACGCGTGGCATTGGACGGCAGGCATCGGAAGATCTGAGGGCAGGGGCGCACATGAAAGGGGGTCAGTCCTGGAGAGACTCTTCCAAGGCTCTGAACTAAGCAGGCTGGACTTCCCACTCCCCACACGACTTCTCAGTACCCCGCAGGACGGAGGCCCCGGAATCCCTAGTAGTAAACAATCTCCAAATCCACATTTCGCTCCTGAGAATGTGGAGGGATTTCTCTCCGTCCCACCCAGCCTGAGTAGGACACTCCACCCGTCTCCCCCTGCCAGCACCTCTCTGCCCCCACCTGCTCATAGATGGTGGCATTTTTCTCTGCTGTGTCTTGCCACAACTGGAAGAAGTCATCACAGACCGGGTCTCGGAGATCCAGGTCTGGCCTGGCATTTGCCCCCAAAATCACACTACGGAAGAAAGGGTCCCAGTGGGGCCAATTAAAGACTTTTTGTCTTTTTCGTTTTTATCAGTACCAAGGATCGAACTCATGACTGCCTGCTTGCAAGGCAGGCGCTTATGCCGCTGAGCTAAATCCCCAGCCCCCCAATTAAAGTCTTAAAAAATATTATTATTTTTTTTGATGCTTCTACTTTGTGATACCTAAACCGGATTAGTCTGCTGTCAGTGGTCCTCCCATTGAGCTGCAAAGGCAGAATCTCACAGCCTCCCCCCTCCTCCTCCAGCACCCTGCCCAGCCCCACCTGAAACAGTGTTTCCGCAAACTTAGGGCAAACCGGCCCGCCTGATACTCTGCCCCGTCCATAAGGGACGACACCATCTCTGTGTCCTCGATCAGCACAGCCAGCTCACTGTCCCGCTTCCCTAGCAAGCTCCGGTCGTTGATGTTTGCAGAACCTGGGGTGAGTGTGTGGCAGTGACCACCTGGGCCCAGGGGAACTCCCCCCAATACCTCAGGACCTCGGTAGACCATTAACACTGGTAGCCTCTGTCCTGCCCCGTCCACACTCCGCCCTTTCCCACCTTGCTCCATGCCAGAGGCCCAGGCCCAGCACTGACCAATGATCACTGTCCGGTCATCCGCAATGAGCATCTTGCTGTGAATGTAAATGAGCTCTGAGACTGGGTGCCCGCCCAGCTCTCCATGTGTTCGAAGCCCACAGATGGACATGTAGTCCCGCCATGCTGTCCCCACTGCACGCAAAAGAGACAGAGTAAGAAGGGGGGTGAAGTGAGCACTGCCCCTACGCACAGATGGGGCCTGGTCCCACCTCCTTTCTTTTTTTTCTTTTTTTAAACTTTTTATCAGCACCAGGGATCGAACTCACGACCGCCTGCTTGCAAGGCAGGTGCTTATGCCGCTGAGCTAAATCCCCAGCCCCGACCCCACCTCCTTTCTCGAAGTTCTACCAGGTCAGGTCTGCACCCTGACTGCCTGCACCCCGACTGCCGTGAGACCACCTGTGCTCCCAGCAGTGCTTAGGCATGCACTATGACAACCTCCCCCACCCCCAGGCCTCCAGCAACACAGCTTCCCCAGGGGTACAGAGCTGGAACCCGCGTGCTCAGCACTCACTGGCTGCTTTGAGGCGATGTAGGATTGAATATTCACCACGACACAGGGTCCTGAGAGGAAAAAAGTGTGAACATTAAAAAGGGAAAAAAAAAAAGAAAGAAAGAGCGGGAGGGAGATGGAGCTTAGGGGAGGAGGAGAGCAAGTGTGAGGCCAGGTGGGTTTCAAAGGCACAGCAAGAAGGCATCAGAACAGAGTGGGGGCGGGAGCGCACCTGTAAGTGAAGTGCAGAATGGCCTGGATGGAGTTCCCCCCACCTGTGGTGATGTCGCCCTCAAAGCCAGGGAGCAAGGGCAGAAGCACATAGACCCGGAAGCACTGCCCCTGCCTGGGGAGAGGGGCAGTCAGGGGCAGGCCAGCCCTGAGCCAGCCGTGCCGCCCCAGCTGGGCTCACACAGCCCACCGGCCCCACCTTCCTGACAGTCCACCTTACTTGTGGGCCTTCAGGATTCTCTCCACAATCTCATCGCCCACCTTGTTCAGCACCGTGCGCCCATCTGAGCAGCTAATGAAGAACTGATTCTAGGGAAGGGACCAAAGACAGACTTGAGTGCCCCACCGCAGCCCTTGCCGAAGCTCCCGCCCCAGTGCCTGCGCCCAGGCTTTTCCGTTTGCTCCAGGCCGGGCTATAGCAGCCCCCTCCCGATGACTGACCCCACTGGCAACCCCAGCTGCTCTTCCGAACACCCTGCCACCGCTCCCCACCCCCACCCCACTCAGTCAGACCTCAATGTAGAGGAAGTGCTTGCTCTCCCTGATGGTGTGCAGGTAGGCGTTGAGGATGGAGTTCTCCAGCGTCCCTGCAGACCAGCGGTCCACAGACCGCAAGACCTGTTGGAGCAGTAACCGTGATGTGATTGCCAGCCTAGGAAAGAGGGATCTGGGGTTCTGCCACAGTGGGGAGAGCTGGCGGGCGTCTGGCAGAGCCAAGAGGGAGGAGGAACTGCACCCAGTCCTTGGTGATGAGGTTGCTCACCTGCACAGTGGTGCACTGCACACCGGGGAGTGTGAACGGGAGTTGGTTTACAGTGCTGATGGACTTGGGCAGCAGGTACGGGTATGCGGGGGTCTTGTACTTAGCCTTGGTGGTCTGGGGTAGAGGGACAGCTCCGTTAGCAGGAGGTGACAGGGTGAGCCTGGTTCCCTCCCCACTTTCACCCCACCTGAAGCAGGGAACACCTTGGTGAAGTTCCAGCGCTGGATGAAGTGCCGGGCAAGGTCACGGGCAGCTGGGCCATGGACAACCACCCCCACATCCCTCCACGGCATCCGGGGTGTGGTCTCCCTGTCAATGAAATCTGGGAGTCCCGGAGGAGTCAGGGGAAGGCCAAGGCTGCTCTCTGGGGGACACTGGGGCAGGGAGGAGAAGGAGCCTGCCAGAGGGGAGGGTGACTCTTCCCTGGTCACACCTCCTAGTCTCCGTCCCAGCCCCAGCTTCGTCCCAGCCCCAGCTTCGCCCCTGCACCCAGCTCTTGGGGGTCTGGGGTGGAGCCTCACCTTCAAAGGGCCGGTCTAACTGCACCCAGTCCTTGGCGATGAGGTTGCTGTAGTCCTTGCCTAGCCAGAAGAGCTGGTTGTGAGAGAGGTCCGGAGCGGCTTCGGGGTCTGGGCACTCAGCGGGAGGCTGCAGGAGGGACACACCCAGGACCCAGGCGTGGCGAGGTCAGGGGCACACAGGGCCAGGCTAAAGAGAAGACAGGAGCTCAAGAGTGAGAGAGCGATACGGAGAGCAGGCATGATGAGGAGGGAGGCGCTGATCCCTGCAGGCCACCTCCAGGTGCAGCTGGAGGAAGCGGAAACGGAGCAGGGTATGGTGCTTCTCAGAGCCTCAGACACGCTGCAGAACTCAGGGTGAGCAGTGCCTGGGACAGCGGGAGGAGCCCGAAGCCAAGGGACACAGATTTAGGTTATCTGCTTACCTGCGAGGCTCCTGATCCAGACGAGTCTGCGAGGTCAGTCAGTCGGTAGTGCAGGTCATCCCAGCGGCCATAGGCAAGGTCCAGCCCCCCCAAGAAGGCCACTGCTTGATCAACCACCAAGAGCTTCTCATGGTGGGCCCACAGCGTCATCTGGTCTGGATGGCGCATCACCTGCAGCAGGTATGCAGGAGCTCAGGAGGACAGGCTTGGGGGAGAAGCCGGGGAAAGGTAGGAGGGTAAGGCTGCTAGGGAGAGGGTGAAGGAACGGGGAAGCTCCAGGAGCACCCCAAAATGGGAGGAGTCTTCGAGGCCTGAAAGTCACTTTTTCTTTGGAGACAGGGTCTCCCTAACGTCACTAAGTCACTCAGGCTGGGCTCAAGCTCGTGATCCTCCTGCCTCAGCCTCCCAGAGTGCTGGGATTATAGGCATGAGCCATGGTACCCAGCTAACAGTCACCTTTATGTTAGGGTGGAGCAGCATCAGTGTCCTCTTGCTGTAGCCACTGTTGATGCCCAAGGCCAATTCCACTTCCTTAAACAGCAGAACAGACACACGAACACCCTCCTCCTGGTGGTGGGAGAATCAGAAACTAGCGCCTCTCCCAGGAGGCTCCTTTTAGTCCCCCCAAACCCTACCCCATCCTCAGGACTTCTTCTGGGACCTGCTGGAGACCCCAGGTGCTCTGCCACAGACTATCCTGCCTGGACACTCGCAGCAAACTTGGACGGCATGTCCCCCATCTGCTCACTCAGGCTCCTGTCCACCCAGCATGTCTCCCCATCCCCGTTACCCATCTACCATCCTTCCAACCATTTACTCAGCATCCCATCTGCCCCCATTCTCCTCTGCCTTCACCTCTCCCACTCAGCTCTCTCCGTCCACCTTCCTTTCCACGTGGCCGCCCACCTCCTACTTAGCCACCCACTCTCTTCTGACCCATCGACATTCACAAATGCTCCCAACACACTGGGTGCCGCACTTTGCACTGGAAGTGATGTTAATCAGCCCAGTGAGAAAGACAAACATGCCTCCAGGAAATGCAATTAAATGTTATGAGTTCTGGGGGGGAAGTTTATGCCAGGACAGGAAGACCGAGCTGGAAGCAGCAGAGCTGGAGAGACGCAGAGCTGACTGGGCAGGCTTCCTTGCCCGAAGCCTCAGATTCCGGCCTTAGCTCGTGCCACGGTCTGTGTGATCAATGTACACCCACAGGCAGTCCCTGCCAAGCCCCCCTCCAGCCCGACTCCTCACCGCGGCCTTCTTGAGCATGAAGTCCAGTCTCCAGTCGTCTGAATGGGCTGGGCGTTTCAGGTAAACCTCAGGACTCAACCTAGGGGTCAAGGCAGGGCTGTACAGCAAGCTAAGCTGCAGACAACCAGCCACTCCTCCCTCGGCCCCTGCGCTGACCTGCCGCCGGCCCTGGCCTACCCTGCTTACCACCAGTCTGTGATGAAAATCTCCTCTCGGGCTCGCAGGATGGCATCTGCCACAGCAGCAAAGTAACCTGCCCCATTCACAAACCTAAGGGGAGGCCAAGCCAGGGAGTCAAGGGAGTCAGAAGCCAGAAAGCTCTGGAGAGTGAAGAGAGAGGACAGCCTCAGATCAGAGGTGACTACAGGGTCAAAGATCAGGAGTGACTGCAACAGTCAGACACATCAAAACGAGGTCAGCCGGGACGACTTACCAGTAAAAGTTATAAATAAAAACTGAAAGTGACAAACAACAGAAATTGACTACACAATTGCACGCAAGGAACTCCAACGAATCAGTAATGACCAGACAAGGAGACCAATGGAGAATGAGCAGCGTGAGAACTGACAATTCAGAGCGGAAGTTAGGGTCAGTCACAGGTAAAGATGTTCAGTTTCACTGGTAAACAAGGAGCCGGGTCAGAAGTGCCTGGAGTAGAGGCACGCACCACCACACCTGGCACTGAGAATTAAAACCTTTTATTTAACGTGCTACTGTATTGTTTGCTCTCCCCCCCCCAAGGGTTCTGGGGACCAAACCCAGAGCTAGACACGCTAGACAAGCACTCTACTATTGAGCTACAGCCCTAGTCCTTGACTTCTTAGTAACTCAGAGTTGCTGGACATCGTAGCACATATCCATTGTGCCAGCGACCTGGAGGGCAGAGGCAGGAGTAACACAAGTTCTAGGTCAGCCTGAGCAACCTAGCAAGACTCTGTCTCAACATGAAAAGGGCTGGGGATGTAGCCAGTGACACAGCACTTGCCCAGCCTGCTCGAGGTCCTAGGTTGTTGCATCCTCAGGCACACACACACTCTCTCTCTCTCCCTGCCCCATACAATTGTTGTGAAGGTTCACTAGATTCATGTACATCTCATAGTTTGTGGCACACAGTAAATCCTACAAAAGTGGGAGCTGCTACTAATTCTTACATTAAAAGGAAACCCCAACATCAGCTCCGAGAAGAAGCTCTGCTTACGCCAAGTTACTTGGCTGAGCACCCCAAGATCAGGTGCTGAGGCCTCACGGGCTCTTCCCTGATATCTCCGCCTCTCTCTGCAGCAGCAATCAGTTCTCCTAGTCCCCAAACACACCAAGCTGCTTCCGCCTTCTCTGCCTTGGACAGCCCTTCTCTATTTTCTTTATCTTGCTAAAGCAAACCTCAGGGTTACGCCTTCTGGAAGCCTGACCTGATTCTCCACTCTGTGCTCTGTGTCTGTCACTAGTAAGACAAATTCACATTGCTTCACGATTAGATCACCTTCTTCCCTAAAACCAAGAGGGCCATCTTGTTGTCGGCACTGGACCAGGAACATAGTAGGAATTCAGAAAATGGTTCTCAAGTAAAGGAGTTTATCAGAGGTTTGGGGAGATAACAAACAGAGGAGGGCCTTGTGATTTCAAAAGTTGTAAGATATCAGAGAGGTCAGGGGTCCGAAGAGATTACCAAGTTTGGGAGTCACAAAGAGGATTCCGAGAAATCAACGTAGTTAAATAAATCAGGGATTCAGAAAAGCAAGGTCATATAGGTCTGGAGGGCAGAAGAGATAAAAGAGAGAGTGAAGACCTTGGAAAATACCAAAGGAGGTTAAAAAAACAAAAGGCACACGCAAGCTCAGAAGGACAACAGCGTCTCACCACCGGGCCAACGTGCGGGGCCGGGGCGGGGCATAGCTCTCATGCCGGTGCAGCTGGAGGAAGTCTCGGCCTGGGCCCCGAGCCAGCTCTGCGATCTCCTGGGCCCACCACCGCGCCTGCCGGTAGCTGCTGCACTTGAGAATCAGGGACCTGGACAGGTACAGTGAGACACGCCACTAACCCTCCTCTTCTGTACTTAGTCTGCCCGGACGGACGTCTTTTCCTACTTCCTCTCCGAGTCCCTATCGTGACTCCACAGACACTGCCTTATTTAACTGGGTCCCAAGCAACTAATACGGCATAAAGCATGCAGGTTTGTTCCGTGAATGAATGCATGAGTGGAGGTCCTTCTGCTTCCCCCCACTTCCCTTGACTCTGGCTCTCAAAAGTATCCTCGAGTCTGGCTGGACTAGGTCCCTGGCTCAAAACTGTGGTCGATCCAGGGGGCAAGAAGCAGAAAAGCCTTCCTCTCCTGTCCCACCCCTCTCAGGCTACAGGCTGCTCTCCACTCCTCAGATGGCTCTCACACCCACGGGGAGCTCTTACCTGTGGGAGGTGTCAATCCGCACCCCGTACCGGGTCTCTGTGCTCCTTTTCCCCACCTGCACCTCAAACCCAGGGTCAAACAGCTGAACAAAAGAGATGACACCGGTCTCCAGACACATGTACAGCAGAAAAGAGTCTTTCACCACCAGCCACCTGGAGCAAAAGGGCAGCCCCGTGTGTGTCCCCTGCCGCAGAGAGCACCCTCCTCACCTCAACCACTGCTCAGCCCCAGGCCTCACCTCTTTGACCAGCGATAACAGACTTGGTCTCGACCACAACAGGTGAGGCCAGGAACACGGTGGCCACCTGAGCGCTTCCGGATCACCCCCTCCCTGCAGGGAAAATCAGGCGGACACAGATGCCAGATGAGGACTCGAGGCCCAGGATCACCCTGCCAAGCAGCAAGAGGATGAATGATGTCTTCAGGAGACAGGGGAGCCGGGCGAGGGGCCAGACACTCACAGTCCTTTGGGTCCCAGGTCTGGGATAAAGGAGAGCTGACTCACTTCCAGGAATTCTGTCTGCAGAGGGAGACACAAGCTCAGACTACGGACTCTGACCCGTTTCCCCCACTGGAGATCTGATTATCCGGCGCCACTTCCAAAGACTCATCAGGCGTCCAGGTCCTGGACCTCACCATAGCATGGTAGTTTCGATAGAAAGACATGGTCAGGAGCCGGTTGAGGTAATTCTCCAGGTATTTCTGAAGGAAGACGAAAGAGAGAGAGAGAGACAGAGGCAGATGGGCACAGTCTGCACCCTGCACCTCCTCAGAGGCCCTGGGGTCTGCTCACACCTGTTTGCTGGCTGCATGTCTGGCAGAGCCTTCGGGACTTCCTCGGGGTAGAGGGGGCATTTCTCTGTTGGCTGTGTCAGCGGGCTCTCGTGCTGGAGAATAGGCAACAGCAAAGCTGTGGAAGGGATGGGGTGCGGGTTAGCGGAGCGCCGGGAGGCTGGAGCTGGGGTCTGTGCAGGAAGGGAGGCAGCCTTGAGCTCACAGAAGGCAGGCTCCCCACCCTACAAAAGGAGCCGAGAGAAGGGGGAGGCTGCCAAGGGCATTTTGGGCATCCAGCCCGGCTGACATATTGGCAGAGCAAGAAAAGTTTCCTGGGAGGAGGCCTGGCAGCCAGAGTGGGGGCAGGAAAGTGCTTGGGGTCGAGGGGATGCTGTGGCCCAGGGGAGGCAGGCAGGCAGGAGACAGTGATGGCTGCCCCAGGGTTAAGGGCTCACGCCCTTCACAGGGAGCAGTCAGGTCCCCTCACCGAGCCAGAGGGAGCAAACTCATCAAGACTTTGTGTCTCTGGAGGTCGCGATGCAGCTCCTGGAAATGACGGAACTTCTTCTTGGTCGTCCAGGTGAAGTCACCATGAGCCAAACGGACGGAATACAGAGTGCAGGTCCCCACCTGGGGGTGAGAGGAACTGAACCTAAGTGCCCTGGCAGACCTCGGCCCCCATGCGTCTGCACGTCCCGCGCACCCTCCCGGTGCCAGCCCAGCTACCTTGGATCCACTGGTGTACCTCTCAGTTCCCACCACCTGGGCGATGACGGGGACCCCGGGGGCAAACACCAAGGGGTGCATTTTCAGAGGCTGCAGGTCATAGACGGCCAGGAAGGGATGCATTCGGTCAGCTGAGAGGAAAGAAAGCCCAGTGGGTGAGAACTCCAGAAGTCCCAGGCCCTGGTGCTCGCCTCCCTGAGCGCCACACTCCCGCGTACCTGGGTCCTCGCCCTCCCTCAGGGTGTCGATCTCATCCGGTTCCATGTGTAACTGGCTGGAGTCCAGGTAGTCCCCATAGGGGAAGGGGCACCCCTGGGTGGCCGTCATGTCACTCGAATGTTCGGAGGCCTCAGGAGGCAATCTGCCCTGCAGAAACCGGCCCCGGGACCTTATCTTCCTCACTAGCCCGTTCCCGGCGAGCCCCCGCCTCCCGTGATTGCAGACCGGGGCCTCGCTGCTCCGGTCCCCGTCGCGCCCTGGGCCCGCCCCTCGCGCTCGGGGAACACCCGCCGGCCGGGATGGGCTCGCCCTGGGCGGTGCGGAGCGGAGCGGAGCTCCGGAGGACCCGCGGGCGGGCCGGGAGGTCCGGGCGGGAAGCAGGAAGTCCCGCGCGCTCCCCGCCCCGCGCTGAAGCGGCCCCGCAGGCCGGAGCCCGGAGCCCCGCCACGCCCGGCCGCAGCCCCTCACCCAGGCGGGCGTCCGCGGGCGGGAGCGAGCGCGGGGAAGAGCGCACACCCTGCCGGCCGGGCGGGCGGGAAGGGCCGGCCTCCGCCTCACCACGCCCCGCCCCGCCTCACCCCGCCTGGCCTCGCGGGGCGCTCGGGCGCCCTCCGCCCCGCCCCCTCCCCCTCCCCTCCCCGTCCCTCCCTCTCCCTCCCCGCCCTCCCTCTCCCCTCCCCCTTCCCGCCCCTCCTCGCCCTCCCCCTCCCCTCCCCCTCCCCCTTCCCGCCCCTCCGCAGGGGGCGTCGCCGTGCCCGAGCCGCCCGCTCTCCCGGCCGCAGGAGCCGGGCTCCAGTGGCCGCTCCCGCGCGTCCCCCAGCGCCGTCGCGGGGCTGCTCCCTCCTCGGTGGCCCGGGACAGATACCGTCTGTAGATAAAGGGGAGAAAAGGATAAAAGGCCCAAAGGGTAGTGGACGGAGCTTCCGTCGGTTCATCTATTTGCAAAACATCTATGCGTGCTTGCTGTGTGCCAGACGCCAAGGATAGAGAAGTAAACCAGAGCGTCAGAGCTGTCTGGCATTTATAGTCCAGGGCATTTTTTATTACAAATCCAAAAACAGGGCTGGGGATTTAGCTCAGCGGCATAAGTGCCTGCCTTGCAAGCGCGAGGTCCCTGGTACCGGCAAAAGTAAGGAAAAAAAAGATACAAATCTGAAAACACAGGGTACCCTCCACCCCCACCCCCACACAGATTTGTTTCTACTGATTTTGTTTTGTTTTGAGACAGGTCTCACTAGGTATCCCAGGCTGGCCTCAAGCTCACAGAGATCCTCCTGCTTCTGCCTCCCAAGTGCTGGGATTATAGATGTGCGCCACCATGTCAGGCCTATTTGTGCTTCTGATAGACGTTTGGGTTGTCCTCAGTTTTCATCTGTTCTGAGTAATATAAATACCATAAATATTTCTGTGCATATTTATGAGTAGCTATCATATTTCTTTTTTTTTTTTTTTTTTTTTTTTGCTATCATATTTCTTAAGAAAATAGGAATGGTGTTGCTAAGTCATATAAATATTTGTTTAATTTGTTACCTGCCAAACTGTCTTCCAATACTGTCATTTTTAGCTGGGCATGGCGATACTCGCCTCAAATCCCAGCACTCTGGGAGGTTGAGGCAGGAGGCTCATCCCAAATTCAAACCCAGCCTGGGCATTTTTAGCAGTTTAGCAAGACCTTGTCTGGGAAAAAAAAAAAGGTAAAAAGAATCGGAGCGCAGCTTAGTGCTATGGCCCTGGGTTGGATCTTCAGTACTACAAACATAATGTGAAGTAGGTGGGCGCTATGGCTCTTGCCAGTAATCAACACTTGGGAGGCTGAGGCAAGAGGATCACGGTGCATTCGAGTCCAGCCTGGGCTACACATGGCATTCAAGACCAACCTGAACTACATAGCAAGACCGTGTTGCAAAACAGCATCAACAACAGTAATGTCAACTTTTAGTGTAGCCGTTCTAGTCGTCCTAATATCTGTAATAGGTGCATCTCTGCGATTTCATTTGCATATCTCTGAATATTAACGAGTTTCCTGTATTTACTAACCATTTGTGTATCTTCATTTATAAAGTGTCTGCTCAAGTCTTATGGTATAATCTCGAGAGGCCTCAAGGAATGTAGTAGGCAGAATCTAAAAAGCACACACTCATCCTCGGTTCCTAAGCGTGATGATTGGGTGTTCATGTTCCATGCATGACATGTGCCTCCTTTGAACCTTGTTAAGACATCGGCTCATTACTCATCTGATGTGAAAAATAAAAAATAAAAAGCACAAGAAATAGAGTGGGAGCCGTCCAGAGAGGTGCTGGGGTTATAGGGATGTACCTTAGTAGGAATTTGTTTTGTTTTGTTTTTGGCTTTTGGAGCCAGGGTCTTGCTGTGCACTTTAGATCGGCATTGAGCTCACTTTGTAGTCCAGGCTGGTCTCAAATTTATAACGATCCTCTTGCCTCAGCCTCCCGAATACTACAGGGGTGTGCCACCACACCGACTTCATAACAGGACTTTTTAGAAGAAAACTTTGGGGTGATGGAAATGTCTCACACTCTGCTTGGTGACGATTATATGAATGTATATACTTAATAAAAGTTTCAGAGGCATAATAAACATATGCATGTTAAGGTGGAGACAGCTATGTATGCCTGTAATTTCCACTTTTGGGGAGGCTGAGATAGGAGGAACTACTTCAATAATTTTTTTTTTAATCCAGCAGAGCACCTGCTTGGCAAGCACAAGGTCATGCGTTTGATCCCCAGAATAAAAAACAAAAATAAAATAAAGTAAAAAGCCACCAGCTTCCTAAATCGGGCAGTAAGGTACAGTCATGATTGCAGTACTCTTTAACGTTTCCTGCACCGTGGTGCTTTCCATGAACAACACAGCGTTTGCACAGCTGTGCTCCAGAGCACCCGTGGCTACGAGGCTCTGAACCAACCAGGGCTCTCTGCCTGAGCTCTGGCCACCCTAGCCTGAGCGAGGGTATCAGCTCCCTCATTCTTGGGAAGCTCCGTGTGTGGTTAGCACAGTACTCCCTGGGATAAAACCCAGACTGATTTGGTCTGCGTTTGGAGAACATGGCTCCAGCTCTGCCACAACTGTTTGTGTGATTTTGGGCAAGTTATCTTATCTCTGAGTCTCTGACTTTCTTCATCTGTAAAATCAGGATAGTAATAGTAACAGCTCAAAAGATCTTTGAGGGCTGTGGGTGCAGAGATAGAGTGCTAAATTCCATCCCCAATACACACACACACACACACACACACACAGTCGTTAACTTGTCAGTTGACATGATTAAGTGAGAAGAGGTAATTTGTAAAGTCCTTAGGAATTTTTACAGCACAACATAATTAACTAATGAGAACTATCCCCATTAAGAGAGACTAGCGTGCACTGGCCCCATGCCATTGACCTGGAGCCAACAAGTTCAAGGCCCAGGGAGACAGTTCAGACAAGTCCCACCCTAGAACAAACCAAAAAAAGGAACAAAAGCCACCAGGCCATTTAAAGTGGACGTAACAATTCCTGGATAGTAGTTTCTTATTTTAGGGCTGGAGGTAAATTGCTCATGTAGCATGTAAGAGACCTTGGGCTCCACCCCTAATGCTGCAGAACAACAAACTTTCTTAGTCTGTGCTGATATTCACCTTTTTTTTTGAGTTGAAGTCTCGCTGTGTAGTTCAGTCAGGCCGCAAACTCACTGTGTACCCCAGGTTGACCTCAAACTCACAAATTCATGGTAATCTTCCTGCCTCAGCCTCTCAAGCATCAGGATTACAAGCATGTGCCACCACATGCATCTCTTATTCTATGATAGACGTGGTAGCACATGCCTATAACCCCAGAATTTGAGAGACTGATGCAGGAGGATCACTTATTTGGAGGCCAGTCTGAACTGCATAGTGAGCAGCCAAATGAACAACTTTCTTATTCTAAAACAAAAACAGTATCCTTTAATTTTTTTTTTTTTTTTTTTTTTTTTTTTTGAGACAGGGTTTCACTGTGTAATGCAAGCATACCTTGAACTTGCTTATGTAGCTCAGTTTGGTCTCAAAACTCACATTGATCCTCCTGCCTCAACCTCCCAAGTGCTAGGATTACAGATGTGTGCCACCACGCCTGGCTAGTTTTTTTTTTTTTTTTTTTTTGTCTTTTTTCATTTTTATTGGTACCGGGGATGGAACTCAGGACCGCCTGCTTGCAAGGCAGGTACTTATGCCGCTGAGCTAAATCCCCAGCCCTGCCTGGCTAGTTTTTCAAATTTTAATTGTTTTGTTTTGTTCCAGTATCCCTATGTGGTTCAGGCTGGCCTCAAACTCTTGAGATCCTCCTGCCTTAATTCCCAAGTGCTAGGATTACAAGTATGCGCCACCACACCCGGATTCAAACTTTATACTTTGGGCACTCTAAATTTTCACTATAAAATAGACATACACTCACAAAAGAAGGAGGGAAGGGGAAGGGAAGGGTTCAGGGCGTATGCTCGTGACAGAGCACGTGCTTAGTATGTGCAAAGCCCTGGGTTCAGACCCCACCACCAGAAACAAAACAAAGCAACAGCTCTCCACCCCCAGCAGTGTCTGGCCTGGCAGGAGCTCGTGTGCACTGCACTGAGATTGCATGGTGTCTTAGCACCCCTGTCTCTGCCCTGCATCCCTCCTAACATCTATCTGCTTTTATACAGGGATTAGAGAAGAACCCCAAATTTAAGGAGCTCAAGAAAGTAGGTGAGTGAGACTATCCCCCTACTCCTTTCTCCCCCCCTCTTTTACCCCGCCCCCTCCACCCCCTGGCTCCCATATAATCACCAGGCGGTGAGGCTAAGTGGCAGTTTCGTGCACAGGGTAGGGGGTGTCACCCTTCCCCAGTCTCTCCTGGCTGCTCCCAGATCCAGTTTTCTCTATTACCAAGATGGGTCTGAAGGGAGCATGGTGCTTCCCGTGGTGTGGGTGCCCGAGACAGCGGGGGACTGAAAGAGGAACAGGTATGGGGCTCGGCCTGGGAGGGGGGATCATGGGGAAAGGTAAATCCTCAAACCAGCTGACCCTGTCTCTGTCTCTCTCTCCCTCTGTCTCTCTCTCATGGGAGGAGGAACTCTCACATCCTCACGGGGTGGCTAAAGACTTTGCAGGCCCCAGTGCAAAATAGAAAGCCCAGGGCCCCTAGTAAAATGTGAGCATTTCTAAATGGTGACAGCAGAGTACTTCACCAAGCACGGGTCCCTTGTGGGTGGGAGTGGGGCTGGTGGAGGGTGCTTGGCACCTGCTCAGGCTGCGTGTCTGTGAAGCCCGTCTGCTCTCTCGGCAGCCCCTCCATAATCCCTGTGGCTGCTGCCACCAACAGTCCCTGTCCCCTCCACTTCAGTCCCCCAGGGCAGCTTCTTTCATTCTCAGCTGCAGGTGGGAAGGGGGAAGAGGGGAGTCCAGCGCTGACCAGCAATCCCCCTCTCCGTCCCTCAATCCCCTCCTAGGCCGGCATCTTGCTGACCCTCCAGGTGCCAGCACAGTGGTGGCCCCCGTGGAAGCTGAAGGGGAGCTTCCCTCCCCAGGAGTGGGTGTCTACTTCAGCAGGAAAGCCCGCCTCTCTTTTCGCCATCAGCTGCATGATGTGGCTGCCGCCGTTGACTCCACCATTTGACCAGGACAAATACCTGGCAACCTACTTCACCCCATTTCTCAGCGGCCCAAGTGTTGGGCAAGCCTGTCGTGACTTTTTCATTCTGTGTGTTTGGAGAGGGGAGCCGGTGGCAGTCATGGGCCAGCAAAAGAACCAAGCAGTCAGCCCGCCCTTCCTGTGTGCCAGCCGGCACGCAGGCTGGGAGACAAGCAGAGGGCCGGGTCTCCCTGTGTAGACAACCAGCGGATCCGGAGGAACTCAGGCCAGGATGACAGCAACTGAACTACAAAAACAGCTTAATCCTCAGATCACCTGATTGAATTTTCAGGCCTGGATCCAGTAGTCTGAGCAGCTGTTTAGAGGGGGCTTCCTTCTGTTTTGTTTTGAAATCTATTACTGTTCTCGCTGTTTCGTTCAGTTTTGTTTTATTCTCTTCAACATAAATAAATGAATGCATTTGCTCAGCACTGCCAAACGTCGTGTGGATCAGCATGTTGGGGCAGGGACGAGGCACAGGACCACGGTGGGACACAGAAAACGTCGAATGAGGAGGTCGGCCAGGGGTGTGGCCAGCAAGCAAGTGCATCTGCTGAAGTTAAGCTTCAGAGCTGGTGTGGACAGGGCGGGTTTGGAGGGACAGCTGGGCAGGGCACGTGGCTGTTAAATAAGTGCTTAGCGTCTGCTCCCTCGGCAGCTTTGAAGATCTATCAGTAACCAAGGAGGGAGAATTCTTTCTTCTGAGATTTCCAGCAGGGGGAGGTACATAGTAAAAAAGTAAACATATAAGCATAATACCAGACAGTGATAGATGTTGCTAAGAACAGAATCACACAGGGTAATATGCGAGGGAGGATGGCATTGCTTCAGTTCTGGAGGTTGGGACAGACTTCCCCTTGACCTGCCATCCGAGCTGAGATCTGCAAGGAGAGTGACTCGCTGAAAGCTGAGGCAGGGTCCCGTGTTGGTCACCGATTCCAACACACATACCTCTTCGCGCAGGATACTGACAGTGGGGGAAGCTGTCTGTATGTGGGGACCAGGAATACATGGAGAATCTCTGTTCCTTCCACTCAAGGAAAGCTTTTGCCATGTCATAAACCTATGATCCTAGCTACTCGGTGTGATGAGGCAAAGGTTACAAGTTCCAGGCCAGCCTCAGGCAACTTAGTGAAACCCTGTTTCAAAATTAAAAAAATAAAGTAGCCTTGGAATGAGGTCTGGTAGAATGCTTGCCCAGGATGCACAAAGGTCTGTGTTCAATTCTCAGGACTGCAAAATAAGCAAATAAATAAAGTGTATTTTTACTACTATTTATTTTTGAGACAGGATCTCACTGTGTAGTTCAGATTGACCTAGTGAACTCACTATGTAGCCCAGGCTGACCTGGAACTCACTGCAATCCTCTCAAGTGTGGTGATTACAGGGGTGTGCCACCATGCCTAGATAATAAAGCATATCTCTAAAAAGTCAGGATCTAGCTCAGTGGTATAGTGTGCTAGATTTTATCCCTAGATCCCTAACACCAAGAAGCAGGGGGAAAAACATCAAACAACAGTTCCAATCCAACAAAAAACCAAAAAACCAAACAAAAAACAGCCTGTGTTGTTAAGTACAAAATCTATTTCAAAAAATAGGGAAAAAAAGATAAACCAGCCGATGGCTAGTGTGACGTTTGGGGCGCCGCCAGGTTTTCTGGGTCATGGTTAAGGAGTGGGAATGGTAAGTGGGGCAGTGAGAGGCTGAAGCAGGCTGGGCAGGGAAGCTCACGGAGATCACCGTGGCTGCGGAATGGGAAAGGGATCGTGTAAGGGCAAGTACAGAAGCAGCATGCAATTTAGATATGCTGCCATCCTCCAGGCGAGAAAAGATGCATTTGGGATCAGAGTGGGGTGCAGGGATAGAAGAGGCAGGGTGTTTGTTTGTTTGTTTTTGAGACAAAGTCATGCTATGCAGTTCAGGCTGGCCATGAACTCACTGTGTAGCCCAGGCTGGCCTTGAATTTACAATGATCTTCCTGCCTCAGCTTCCCAAGTGCTGAGACTAGAGGCATGTGCCGTCACACCTGCCAAGGCTTTGTATTCTAGACAAGGCTTGTTTTTGTTTGTCCCTCTCCTTCCTTCCTTTCTTAGAGAAGGTCTGTGTAGTATATATAGGCTGACCTCAAATTCATGGCAACTGGGACTGGGGATTTAGCTCAGCGGCATAAGCACCTGCCTTGCAAGCAGACAGTCGTGAGTTTGATCCCTGGTACCGATAAAAAGGAAAAAGACAAAAAAAAAAAATTCATGGCAATCCCCCTGCCTCAGCCTCCTGAGTGCTGGGACCACAAGAGTGCAGTACCATGCCAAGCTAGAAAAAGAAGTTTTAAAATGTGGCTTCTGTGTTTCTTGATCTTCAGACTGAAGCAGACTGAAATGCATAGCGGTCAGTGAATACCGCTGAGCTCTCTTTATCGTTTGAGCTCCCCTTTTCTCCTTGGCTTGAGTGGGAGCAGCTTTGCAGGGCTGAGTCCACTCTGGCTCTCACAGGAATGGTATTGGCCAAACGAACTCTCTGTGACAGCTCTGTCATCCAACACTGATCCTAAATTCTACTTGCAGACAAGGCTCACCTTTCTTCCCAAAGCCAAGGAAGTCACAATGCTGTACCCTAACCACAAACGAGGTGACAGACCTCTGGCCTTACGCCCGGTAGACAACCAGGATTGCTGGCAGGAGCAGAGCAGGGCACTGACCCCAGTCTCAGAATTCTGAGTCCCCCGGACTTGGACAGTATGTGCTTCCCCACATTAATCACACTCCGGGCAGGACAGGGGCAAAGTATCTGCAGAAAGAGGTCTGAAAACCACCACGCTCAGGTTTACTGAGGTGTGGAGCACTCGTAAATTCCTTTCAGCTCCTCTTCGGTGTCCTGGAGCTCAGTGGATCGGTTTGGACAAATCCAAGTATGGACCAGACAGGTTCGGGCTTGAGGACAAGAAAAGGACCCAAAAGCACAGCTCTTTTTGACAAACTGTTTATTACATCTTGGATCGTTATAGGGCATTGGTATCTCTTACTGCAGCCTTGACTCTGGACTCAGAGGGGTGGTGAAGTGGCGATAGTGAATTTGGGTATCTGGTCTCCCAGAAGCACCTGCCGCTCCACCCCAGCTTCTTCAATGGCTGCCAGGCGGATCACCCCTCCACTGGAGCCATCCCGCTCCATGGCCAGAGCAAGGGCTGTGGATACAAGGAGGAAGCAGGGTTTGCAGTTTGTTGACCTCGCTGGGGCAGGGAGGCTTGAACCTTACAGGAGTAAAAACTCAATTTCTTACCATTGGCTGTGAACTGTAGACACTCCTCCTTCGTCATGCCTTTCCGATAGGTGGCGTCAACGTAGCCATAGATATATGAGCTCCCGGAGCCTCCAATGGCGAAGGACTGCCTCACCAACATACCTCCCATGGGAACTGAGTAGACCTGCCAGAGGGAAGCAGGGCAGTCACAGCTGTACCCTTCCCTCAGCGCAGGTACATTTACGGGTCTGTTTCGGGACAAGTCTGGGGAGAACCAAGAGTAAGTGAAGTGGGGACCGAAAAGAGAAAACAGCCGGGTGGAGAGAAGATCAGAGACCCGACCCTCGTGCTCTGCAGCCTCTGACCTGCCCTCCTTCTTGAGGGTCCCAGCCTGCTACGATGATTCCTGCCATGAGATCTTCCCGGTAGCGGTAACACATCTCCTTAAACAGGCTGGCTGCTGTGTGCACCAGAGGAGGCTCGTTCAACTCAATGCTAGAAAAGGGGGTGAGGGCAGTCACCAGGAAGGCAGTGTCAGGACATTTAGCAGCTCAGGACCACCTCCCTTCAGGTGGGTGCTCCTCCCCGCCCCACAAGCACCTGTGGAAACCGAGCTGGTAAGTGACAGCATCTGCCACTGCCTGGGTATCAGCTGCTGAACCTGAGCGACAGCAGAAAATGCGGTCGTGAATAGGAGTCAGCTTGTCAGTCACTCGATTGGCGATGTAGGACCTGCAGGATGACAGAACAGTGAGGGAAGGACCCCACTACATCTTATCACTATCCACCCCTCGGGACTCCGGGATAGGAATTCCGGTGTTGCCTCTCGGTTCTCATCTGAACTGAAGGAGGCTGGATGGAGGGCAGATTTTTATTTTATAAGGATTCCACAAAAGGGTGACAGGAACTGGGAGTGTAGAAGCTGGGACAAATCTTTACTTTCAGGGAAAAGAGCGATTTCTTGCTACAAAGGCTACAAATGGGCTCACAGAGCCAAAAGTGTAACTCAATGATAAAGACCCTGTCTAGCACAGGTGAGGCCCTAGGTTCCATCACCGGAACACGGGTGTCGTGGAGGGGTGTGGCGGGGAGGGGCCAGCGGGCAGGTGGGGAGGCAAGATGGGAAGACTTCTCAAATCTGTCCTCGGCTCACCCCGTGGTTGTTCTGGAGTCCGCCCCCAGAACCACGCCCCCGTCAAACTGCACAGCCATGATCGTGGTCTAGGCAGAGAGAGAGAGGGTGAGCCCGCGCTGTCCTGCGCACACAGACCGCAGCGATCCGCCAGGTCCCAGAACGCAGAACTTGTGCGCCGCGGACCCAGTTTCAAATAGGCGGCGGGGAGGCGGAATTCCAACCCCCAAGGCCAGAGTGTCCCAGGCCGCCAGACTTCTGACTTGCGCTCCTTCACCGCCCCGCGCTCCCACCAAGCACGTACCGCACCTCTCCGGCACCCTCCGAAGCCCTCTCTGCCTCGAGCATAACACCGCCTCCCTCCTCCCGTGGCCACTGGACTTTCGTCTTCTCGCGAGCCAGCCCTGTGCGCATCTCCTGAGCCTCAGTAACCTCCTCACCCCTGTGGACACTTCTCGGCTTTCCCAGTCTGGGGCGATGGCCTCTGGCCCCCAGCAGGGTGCAGGTCCCGCTCCCCGAGCACTTAGCACGGTAGCCGCCATCTTTCTCTCCTGTACGACCACAAAGCAACTGTCGTAAAACGCCGTGTCACGCTTTAGTCGGCCCCTGAGGGCTTCTGGGAGCAAAACTATGCCGCGGTTGACGGCAGAAGGGCAAAGTAAGGAAGGTTCTTTTGCGACAGGGAGCGTTTGTTAGCAGTGTGGCAGGAAACAAACCAAAGCAATCAAAGAAAAAGAAAAAGCTCTTAAAGGCTGAGCCAATCTGTCTGATTGGAGCTGGGGTTTAAGGGGCCTACGGCATAGACTTCAGAGTCTCAGAATGATCGTGCCACATTCTAAAAGTGCAACTACTGGGTTTGCGCTTAATATTTTTGAAGACATGACGACTGCTTTCTATATCAGCAACACTATTTATTTATTTATCTTTTTGAAGCAAGGTCTCACTATGCAGCTCAGGCTGGCCTTTAGCTCACTTTGTAGCACAGGCGGGTGGGTGGTCCTCCTGCCTTAGCCTCCCCAGTGCTAGGATTATAGGTGAGTGCCACCACGCCCAGTTTGCATCATTTT